GCCGTTGGGGCCGTTGAACGGCCGTTGCACGACCATGCCACGACTGTCAGCAACGGCCGGTCTAGGCCGGATTTCGAAAAACTTTTCCCGATGTAAGGACACAACTATACAACATAACACTCTAATAGCAACAACTAAACTACAGCTAAGGAGCGGACTAGCAGCGCTAGCAGAAATTAACAAGTATCAACGCAAAATTGGATCACTGCTGTTCGCTGCGGTCACCACACAAGCTGACATTGCGTTCGCCACATCAAGGCTTGCCAGGTTCCTCACCAATCCAGGCATCCGCCACCAAGATGCTGCGGACTAGGTCCTTCTATATCTACTCAACACTAAACAGCGATCACTGCAGCTTAGAGGAGGCATCAGCCTCCAGGTAGCAAGTGACGCGTTGCTTCTTGTCGGGGTTGTCGCTTGGTCGCTTCTTGTCAGGTTGTCGCTTGGTCGCTTCTTGTCAGGTCGTCGCTCAGTCACCTTCTCTCTTTGTTTGCGTCTGCTTGCTTGAACTGGCTCTCACTGTGTGTTACGTGATGACTGATCCTTTAACCAGATCCTGGCGTGCGGGCGAACAGTCTGCCGAGGTAGGAAGAGCGTATGTTGACTGGCCGGTCTCGTATGCTCTCTAGGTCGCGTCTCTGGCTGTGTCGGCAGCTTTGTTTGTTCGTCGGAGAGCGCTTTCGCTTACAGATCAAGAGCCATGTAGGCGTCGTCTCGCAATTCGCGAGCGCAGGCGTCGGGAGCGTCTCGAGCGGGCTGGACGAGCGGGCTGGACGAGTAGGCGGGCTCGAGCTCGATAGTCGCGGGAGATGCATGGACAATCGCTGTCTGCGCGCCTCTGCGCTGCTGCGTCTTCTATCAACGCAGCTGTGTGTAGTACTCGTGCGGCCACCCATTGTGTCCAAGGGCGGGACAGAAGCTGTGTCTGGGGAGAGCAGCGAGCACGCGGCTGCGGCGTGCGACAACGCAAATGTGTACACCAGTGTTGGTGGGTCCTGGCGTTCACCAAGACTAACAGTCTGACACAGCGTCGACAAGAAGGTGAAGAGCAGGCTCGTTAACAAATATGGCCCTTGCAGTCGTCAGGGGGCGGCGGTGCTCTGCACAGGCTCCCGCTCGTGGTCTTCTCCAGCGCCTACAGTGCAGCGAGCGAGTTGGGTACCAAGCATCCCACCGCGTAGTCGCCCTCGCCCGACGTCGCATCCTCGCCGCACCCGAGAAGACGATCCCATACAGCCTCCGCCTTCGCCGCTGCTGTCTCTACCGCTCTTTGGCCACTGTCGCCCGTCGCCAGAGCATACGCAGCTGCTCCCTTCGCTCCGACCATGGCGCGTCACCGTCTCCTCCTCTTCCCGCCCCAGGCTCGATCGTCTGCACGGGCCACTCCGAGTAAACCTCGTCTCTCTCATCGTATTTGGCACCTCCATCTCTCGCAAGCCGCCAAGAACGCAGTCTGCGCGATGCCGGCGCCGTCCCATCCACGTTTACCAGCTCGCCACCCATGAGCCACCGGGCTGAGCGCAGCTCTGCGAAAGACTTCCTTCACTTACAACATGCCACTGTCTGTCGCGAAAGCCCACCGCCAGCAGCACGCTATACATAGTTAATCTAGGAGGTCTACAACTAAGTATTATCTGCGCATCTAAGTGTAAAGAAGACTTATTAGTTATTATCTAAGAAATATTACTAGAAAGGTATAGAAACTTCTTATTAATATTATATTTGTAACTACATTCTATGCTAAAGAGGACATCTAAAGCAGACCTAACTCTAAGGTTACCTCTACTCTTTACCTATCCTAGACTAACCTATGTAATATCTTTATATAGACTTTAAGGATTTTCTACTAGATAAAGCTAGTTATAACTAGATTATAGTAATTATTAACTGCCTGTCTAAATAAGCAATTATAATACTATATTACAAGAATATAAACACCTAAGGTATAGCTAACCTATTTATCTAATAGGTGTACTAATTTAGCTACACCCTAGAATCTATTATATTAGACTATGGTCTACAATTTATATCTACTTTCTAGTCTGCCTTCTATAATATTATTAGTGTGAAGGTTAAACTGTTAACTACCTATTACAAGGAAACAGATAGTTAAACTAAAATTATAAACAAGTATATTAACTAGAGATTGCGCCTGTTTATATCCTACTACTAGGATAACTAGAGCAATCTACTGCCTATAATTAACTAAGCCTAAATAACTCTACCCTACTTAACAATTAGTATAGCCCTGTATTAGGTCCTTTTTAGTTCTAAACTAAAGCAGAGCTAGTTCTAGAACAACTAACTAGTAAAAGGAAAAGGACTAGAAGCTATAAACTGTAAGGATGCCTTAGCCCTAGCCACTCGCATACATAACGCCTAGGCCACAGCTAAGAAGAATATAGAACAGGCTTAACTCTAAATACAGACTGCAGTTAATAAGCATTATTAACTAGTTAATTAGAAGGTTAGTAATATAGTCTATCTAAGCACTAAGAACCTGTTAAACCCACGCCCTAGCAGAAAGCTATCTAACCTGTAGGAAGGTCTATTTTAAGTACTAGAATAGGTAGGATATTTATACTAACTTAACTTACCTAAGGGATCTTACATCTATAATATATTTACCCTAAATATATTGTGCAAAGACCCCTAGGACCTACTCCTAGGATAAGAAGTGCTAAAACCCTTAGGTATCCCTATCTAAGGCGTTGAAGAGTGGGAAGTGGAAGAAATCCTAGCCAGCAAGCTCTATCGCGCAACCCTGAAGTATTAGGTTAAGTAGGTAGGCCACAATTAGGACCCTACTTAGTATAACGCCTCCAACTTTATGGGCGCCCCCCACAAGTTAAGAGCGTTCCACAAACAATACCTAAATTAGCTAGGACCTCTAAGAGGCTTAGAAAAATAGATTAACGTGTGGGAGAAAGGATTAGAAGACATGTCACATCTAAAGGATAACAAAGTAAGGGAGAATAAACACAGTTTGTTATAATACACTATCTACAGGTACAAACTAGCTAATTTTAGAACCTACCTTAGGCCTTACAGCAGGTCTATCTTGTTACCTAAAAATTTATAAGGCACGTCAGACAGCTTGCTGTCTAACTCTGCCCTAACTGCTCCTCCTAAACTACTATTATATCTATTCCCCCTTCTACTACTTAGACAACTGCCCTGTCCACCTTATTGTCTTTTTCTACCTTAACTCCCTCCTTCCATAAGGCCCTGCAAAGCCTTTGTTAGCTCTACCTAAGCTCCTGCCACCTTCTTAACAGCCGCCGCCAGATCAGCCATCTGAACCTGAAGGACCTGATTCTCCTCCACTACCCGATAGTAGTCCGCTAGTAGCACGTCCACCACCAACACGCTCTTGAGCTGGGCAGTCGCTACCTGCACACAGCTCGCCAGCGCGAAGGCGGCAGCCCGGACCCTAGCCTCCGTGATGTGACGGTCATGAATCACGTCGCTGCCGAGCGCGACCTCGTACTGTCTAAGGGCCTGCCAAAAGACAGAGAATTCGCTTTCCACATAAGTAGGAAGCTAGAATCTGTTAATATATAACTAGGCAATGGCTAGTATTAGATTTGTACTAGAACACACTTCTTGTTTTAAAAAGTGCAGTACACACACTTCTTAGAGCTTATTAACAAAAACTTGAAGTTAACAAATTAGCTGCAAGCAGTAGCCTAGACTAAACAAATATAGATAACTCTGTAAGCCTCTAGAAGCGCCCTAGGTGGTACAGGGATTAGCATGATGTGTTACAACTTGTTAAAGGTTAGACGTATAGCTAAGTCAGTCTAATATACGTACGCAGAGGTGTTCTGTTTACTTAAGATAAAACAGAAACTAGAAGAACCTCTCTGTTAGTATACTTAGTTGTGTTGCCATAATAATAGAATATATAACAACACAAAGTAAAAGTAGGTTTATGTTACCTACTGCTAATTCTTTTTTACTTGCCACCTCTGCATACGTTCTGTTTCAAACCTAAGTCACAGATATAGGACTATCTGTCTACAAGGAGGGGGGTAGTGTAACAACGCTCTACAAATAGTAACCTAATACTACTAGGATACAGTTCTAGTGACTTATGACTATGGCCCTTGTTACATAGCATAAGCTTACACTAAACTGCCACTAAACCCTTATATATAAGGAGCAAGGAACTGTAGCATTGTAGAGTAGTTTTTCTGTATCCTTTTGTACAAGACCTATAGGTGTAGAGAATATATCCTGGTGTTCTTATCATCCCAGCACTCCTATATGCCTCGTAGCGGATTCACACCTATTCCGGATATCTCTCTTCTTGCCTGCGTCGTTACACAACAAGCCATTGGGGCTCTACCACCTCAAACCTCAATATCTTAACAACCTAATTTCAAACTACTTTTAAAAGAGGAGAGGATTAAGCTTACCCTTTAAGTAATTAAAGAGCTGTAAAAATTAAGTGTGTAACACACAGCTATTATCTATAATGTATCCTAAAGGTTAATTAACTGTTAACACGCTAGGACACAGTTAACACGTAATACCTACCCTAAATTAGCAAACCTGTAAAAGACAGAAGAGAGGACGCTTGTGTAGTATATTAGGAAGCTAGATTCCTAAGGATTTGCCCTAATGCTTTATTGTGTTGAAGATATAGCTAATTAACTGCGTGCTGCACGCGGCGCAAAGCCTATTAGCCTATAATAGGCTTTAAACTTTGTTAAACATAAACCTAGACTTAAATTGCATATAACTTAATAGAGGGATTGCTAGAGAGTCTTGTGTAGTAATCTAGAGGTTATTAGGCCTTAGTTTAACCTTGTACATAATGTTAAGGCTAAGTACAGTATCCTAGATAAAGATACCTACAACTTTAACAAGACTAGCTTTACTATAGGTATTAGAAACTATGTTAAAGTAGTCACTGTATTAGAAAGATGTACTAAGCCTATTAGGTTGTAATAGGGGGACTGTAAGTAGGTGACTTTTATTGCTGCAATTAACGCAATAGGCTAGGCAATTGTGCCCTACCTTATCTTTAAAGCAAAGAACTATAACGCGTCCTAGTACCCTAATTTAAGGCTACAATAGCGCATTAGGGTTAGCAATAATAGCTAGACTACAAATAATATTAGTGTAGCCTAGTTAAGGCACTTTATTAAGCAGATTAAGGGCTAGAGGGTGGGTAGCTATGTGCTGCTAATAATCAACAGCCACGAAAGCCACAAGTTGCTTGCCTTCTAGAATCTTTGCAAGGAGAACAAGATAATTACCCTATGTATGCCCCCACACTTATCGCACATCCTGCAGCCGCTTAATGTGGGCTGTTTTGCCCCCTTAAAGCAGGAGTATAGCAAAGAGATTAGAGTCTTGGCAACAGACTATATTAGCTAAATTAATAAGAAGGCCTTTATTACAATATTTACAAAGGTTTTTAAGAAGGTGTTCTTAAAGGCAAATATCACATTAAGCTTTAAGGCAACTAGCTTAGTGCCTAATAATCTATTAGTAGTGCTATTAAAGCTTAATATTAAGCTTTAGACGCTAACACTACCTCTACTAGGGGGGACCTAATAGAACCCTAAGACACCTACTAACACTAATAAGATAGAGTCTTAATTAATGCTGCTTCGCAATTATATTTAAAAGCACTAAGGATTGTTACTAACTCTAATAGTAGAGATTGTTAATTAGCTGCAGAGAGGCACTGTAATGCTACTGCATAGGCAGATGTTATTAGCAGCCTAAGTGCTGCAGCTTAAAGCGTTAAACAAGGCTGCTTCTAAGCGTAAATCACGCAAAAGAAAGTAGATCTAGAAGGGTAGAGACCTTTTAAAGGAATAGGTAGAGGATTTAATAGCCTAATGTAATATTAGGGCGCAGGTAGAGAGGGAAACGCGTAAGAGTAGGGCCTAAATAGGTGCAGGCAAGCAGGGCAAAAGGCACTGCAAGTGCTGTAGTAAGACAGGGCACAACTTGCGTATGTGTAAAAAAGATGTAGTAGATGTTAGCAATTAAGAATATATACTGTTGCCTATAGTATAACGTTGTGGTGTTGAGCAATTGCGTGTAGAAGGCCTAATAGCTTGTTGGGGTGGCGCGCTCGCTTATCCGGCGCACTCGCTATGCACTCACGTTATACTAATTGTTAATAGTTATAAGAGCCACAACTCTACAGAATTCCAGCAATACTGCAAGGATCACAAGATTATAGCTCTATATATGCCTGCGCACTTATCGCACCTCCTGCAGCCACTTAACGTGGGTTGTTTTAGCCCTCTAAAGAAGGCGTATAGGGATAAGGTTAATAAGCTTATTTATAACTAGATTAACTACATTATAAAGTAGGAGTTCCTGCTATGCTTTAAAGCAGCTTACAAGAAAGCTATAACCCCTAGCAACATCTAGGGAGGGTTCTAAGGGGCTAGATTAGTCCCTTTTAACCTAGAAAGGGTTATATTAACCCTTAATGTGAAGCTACGCACTCTATCACTACTACTCCCTACAAATAACAAGCCCTAGCAGTTGCAAACCCTAAGCAATACCCTAGAATTTAAGTTGTAATTAGCTCTAATTTAAGACAAATATAAGAGGGAGCAGGGTAGCTTACCTACTTCTGTTCTAAGCGCAATTAAGCAATATACAAAGGGGGGAGCTATCCTGTTACATAAGCTTACACTTGCACAAAAACAAATCTGTAACTTAAAGCAGCTGCTAAGGCCACTACACAACGTAAATTGCACAAAAGAAAGCGTATTTAAGCTAAGGGAAGCCTTGCAGTTAAAGAGGGCTAGTGGTTAACTGCTCTAAAGGAGTTTAGAGCGCGTAGTAATAGAAAGAGGGGAAAGAAGCTAGTGCGCGCTGAAGGAGGTGAACTATCCTAACAACACTGTAGACAGTGCAGAGAGGGTGGACACAACGCGCGAACGTGCAAGAATAATATTAGAGAGGTCTCTAAGTAATATTACAGCTTGTTTTGCCTTGTGCAGCGCTAGTTTGTGGTGTTTTAGGCCATAATAGGGTTTGATGGGGGAGGGTTGTAACAGAGTAGGCGCCATGCCCTCGAAATCAATACTACGTGACTTCTCTGCCTATACCAAAAGGTAAGCACAAGAATACTTAAGCAAGTATTCGTTGCGTAGTATAATATATATAGACAATAATAGTGCTAGCCAACTAGCTTTGCCTCTAGCTGCTATGAGCGCTATGCCACGTGTCGTGTTCGTGCATAGTCGTTACAAGGGTCTTGGCAAAAGTGGGCGACTCGCCCTGGTGGGCGAATCGCCCTACACCTACGTTATGGATAAGAAAGGCTTCTTTGTTAGTATCAATAGTCACACTAAAAGGATAGTCTCTAAGGCAATTTAGGAGTTAAAAGAGTGCACTATAGTGCTTAGAGATGGCAACAGAGAATAGGTGACGCTGCTGGCTTGCGTATGCGCTTCTAGAGAGGCATTACCACCCACTCTTATCTACTAGGGCACCTCTAGGATTTAATTAACCTAGGTTAACAACCTTGTTACTAAACAATACTAGATTTTTATCTCCTACTTAGCAACAGGATAGTTAAACAATGACTTAGGGCTTGCCTGGCTTCAGCAGGCGTTTAATTGCTATACAGCAGCTAAAGCTTGCTGTCAATAGCAGCTTCTGATCCTTGACAGCTACAGCAGCCACCTCACGCCTAAATTTCTAGAGTATTGTGACGCCAAACGCATCCTCCTTATAGTCTTTCCACCTTATTTAACTCACAGTTTGCAGCTGCTTAATGTTGTCCTCTTTACGCTACTTTCAAGGCACTACACTAAGAAGCTTACCCACTACCTCTAACAAACCTAAGGCCTTATAAGGATCACAAAACCTGACTTCTACAGTAACTTTTAGCTAGCGTGGAGCGCTACAATGACTTTAGAGCTTATATTAAAGAGTTTTCAAGCTACAGGCGTGTGGCTGATGGATGCAGACGCTGTACTAAAATGCTTCAACAACCACCCACCACAACAAGACAAAGACGCAGAAATTGGAGAGCATGGCGACGGCGATAGCTGGCCTGAGCTGCGCAAAATTTTTGATGCTGCAGTTGCTGACAAGGCCAGAATTGAAGCCAAGCGGCTGTTGCAGAGCCTCCACTTGCTACAGGTCAACAACGAGCTTCTTCGCACTTGAAACAAGGAGCTACAACACGAGCTTAACGTCATTAAGAAGCGCCCAACGCAGCGGACAACACTAACTACACAAGACAGCAACAACTGGCACAGCGGCGCTGTCTTCTACAGTCCTAGGAAGCTTGCCTGCAACCGCGCGCGCAAAGCTGCAGAACTCAATAAATCTGCGCAGCTACAACTCCAAAAATCTCGTAATAGAAAGGCAAAGGTGGCAGCAGCAGCTTACAAAAAGCAGCAGCAAGAGGAGGCAAAGTTCGCTCAACAGTGTGCTGCTGAGGAGCGTTGCAAGGCGAAGAAAGCACAAGCTGAAGTGCTGGCTGCTGAACAAGCGCTCAAAAAGCAGCAACACAACGCTCTAATTGCTTAAAAATCTCACAATACACTTAACAAGCGTAAGCAAAAAGTCTCACAAAGTGCTGCAAAAAATCTAACAAAGTGTTGTTGTGTTGTGGCTGCTCAAAGTCGTGTTGACGCTGCACTGCTAGCTGCGTCTTCCCCACCCAAAATCACTGCGAGAGGCCGCAACTTGTGGTTACCAGCCAAATATAAATAGCACAATTGAAGCGCAAGGCTCTGTATAGCAATACACCAACTTTTCTCAGGATAATAGCTTTTGAGTGTGGCTCTACAGCTTCATTTTTCTATTGCTAATATCTCGTTGGGGTGGCTCATCGGCTGAACTGGCTCATCGGCCGCACGGCCACGGTACATACCTACTGCTGTAGGTAAAGCCTGTCGTTGCCCAAGGCTGCGCATATTGCTAAAAGTAGCGAACAACAGGCTCGGAAGAAATTTTGACATCGTGTTCTACGTGTATCAGATCCTGTCTAGTCAATGCAGTGTTGCAAATTAAGAATAGTTTGGCAATGTTTAGAAGAGGATATCGCAATACACGAAAAGGTTCGAGTATGATACATTGGATCGAGCAGCCTTCAAGGCCATAAAAAATTATCGCTATCCTGCACAGCGGACCACTTCTGTGCCATCGGTCGGCGACCAATGCAGCATCTACTGGCCGAAGGTGTACTCGGGGATATTGATATCAGTGACCTTCCAGGTGATGCCACCATCGTCGGTGGACATCTCGCCGGTGACGCCCTCACCCTTGCCCATAGTCTGGTCGTAGTTGGGGTCGGCCGTGTCGAGGGTTATGACCGTGTTGATCCACTTGTGAGCGGGCATAGTACCGCAGTTGTCCTCGGCACACTCGACGGCGCTACCCCAGCCCGCAGCGTGACCATCGCTGGTACTAAGGGTGGCGACCTGCTTGTCGTTGATAGAGACATATTGGGTGTAGTTGCCAGTGGCGTCGTCGAATTTGTCTTCAATGATGTCAGATGTGTTTTGTCACTTTGACATTTAACTACTTACAGTGCATAGTGACTTTCTCGGCCGCGACAGCATTAGTGCCATCAGTCTGAACGGGCATCTGAGAGTTGCTGCCGGTGCTCTGGAGGGTGTAGGCGAAAATTGACCATGACGACGTTGACTGGAAGGCGTCGGCAATCGATTGGATCAGATCGCCATTGGAGGTACCCATGCCAACCCAGAGGGAGGCATCTCCAGCATTATTGCTAGGAGTTTTGGGCAAGACAAGTGTTGATGTGGACTCCCGGATCCAAGATCCAGAGCCAACAGGACCAGTACTGAAGGATGGGCCCATGGCAGCCTCAATAGAGGCAGCGGCAGCGAGTACAGGGAAGATTTGGCGGAAAGAAGGCATGTTGATGAATCTAAATGAAGGACTCCGGGTCAATGAAGAAAGCGAATGTTGTTGGAAGATGTACAGAAAGCTGAAATGAATGGATGGTGAACTCTTGATGGATAGCGAGATAGACTACTTAAAGTTAAAGAAAGAATTGACAGTGGTTGCTCATTTCAGTGGTTCCAGCGTGTCATCTGTTTGCAGATACCGTATAAAGCAGGACATGCCGCTGTGCCTTTCATCTCGGCGTTTTTAACGCCCGAAGTCCTTCGTTTCAGACCCTCTTCCTCCGTAGCGCTTGTTTTTTCTTGATCAGAGCTTGCCTTCTGACTCCCGTCTTTGATTAGACGAAGGGCCGTGCTTGTTTCGAAGACCCCTGCAACCCTGCAGTGATGTTCATATTCGAAACATCTGTAACATGGCATTGAATGCCATTTTAACAAGTCATACTGGTATAATGCATCGCTATTCTCTGTCCTCTCGAGGCATCTCGGGCTGAAATCTTCCGTGTTGTTGCTAAACTCTCCACAATTCGCAACGTGCTATCAGCGAAAAGGCTCTCGTAGGTTTCTCATCGCCGTCCAGAGTAGCGTTGTGCGGTCGAACAGTGAATGCGCAACGAGGGTTGTGCAAGTGGTGCACAATAGTGTGGAGCAGTGCCAGTGAAAGCAAGGAGAGCGAGAGAAAGAAGTTTGCAAGCGGAGAAGAGCCCTGCAGTCTGTGCCTCGGCTAACCCTACCACATAGGTAGATAGCAACTGGTGAAACAAAAAGTTAAGCTAGAGACCGCAAGGCTGACTTTCTCACTTCGTATTTGCAGACTTCTAATGACGATAAGCATTTTCAAGCTTAAGTTAGCTGTGGCTTTTCATGTGGTGGGGCGGGTTAGGTACCCGCACAATACACGCTGCGTTCACTCCGCATTACACTGCCAAATGTATAATTTAAATAAAGCACGTAATACCTACTTGTTTCGATAGTGCTACTGAATGTTCAAACTGCACGTCCTCAAACTCGACAGCTGCCCCCTCGTTATAACTTCTGAGGTTGACGGACAGGGTCAAAGACCAGCGACGGTCTGCCCATCGCCCCTTGTCCACAAATGATCACTGTGGAAGTATCGTCAGATTTCAACACATGATTGAGACCGCGACTGAGAATCTGACTCGAAATCCGGATCTTGTCCGCTTGCTGGAATAAATGACGACAGGTATGCCGGAAACAGATGTGGGTCAAGGTCTCCCGGCCTGGAAAGGGATGGGAGAAAAGCAAGACTCCAGGTTTTCGACGGCTCTTAGTGCAAAGTCGTCTTCCTACAGAGGATGATTGTTGCACTTCGTTACTGACGCTGTGAAGACATTCTTCCCCACTGTCAGGCTCCAACGACCAAAGGCTTCAACGACATGCGCAAAGCTGTCACCTTCCAATGTCATACTTCACCAGACAAACATGTAAGCTCAGGTATTTCTCTGGGCCACTGAAAGCCTTTCGCTAACAATGCTGCTTTTGATACTTGACAAACTTCGGTGAACGATGAAATAGGTCCCTGTATCAAGCTGCCTTCAATCCGTCGATGTCGATCTCTGGGTGAATGACACAGGCCAGAATGTATATAACGTGTTTTACAAGCGAGTCGTCAATACAAACGAGTCGTCAGCCCCACCAACTTTAATCACCTCTTTAAGCGTATAACTCAACCACGTTGTAAGGCAGTATATATATATTAATATACTAGTTCAAGCAGGATCTATAAAGTCCTTTTTACACGTTCTTGCGTTATGCCCAGTCTCTCTACACCTGCTGCAGCGCGCAAGAGCCTGGCGGCTGAGGCCTGCTTGCTCTCCACTTTGAGGCTCTACACGGGCAACCTGCTGATCAGCCTTACGCTGAGCGAGTATATCCTCTCCAGCTCCCTTTGTCAAGACTCCTTGCTTCTGGAGTCGCTTTTTCTTGCGCTGTTTACGCGCCGA